CAAAGACCAGGACAATGACCTGAGCTCTTCCAGTTGCTCTGTGACATACCAGGGAGCCTGGTGGTACACGGAATGCCATTCGTCAAACCTGAACGGCCAATATCTCAGCGGGGCCCATGAGAGCTATGCCAACGGCATCAACTGGAAGACGGGCAAAGGGTACAACTATAGCTACAAGGGGTCGGAGATGAAGGTGCGGCTCACCTAGCCCCCCGGGCCGCCACGCACCTGCTGGGAGAGCCCGCACCTACAATCACCATGGCACCAGAGACCTTGATCTGTGTCCTGCCCCCCTCTCCCCTCCCAGTGTGCTCACCCAGTGTCCACAGCTGGCCCACTGCCCCTGCCCTGTACAGCTGACACAGGCCTTGCAGCCTCCCCAGAGGGAGGTTACGCTTCTAAAACACGTTTGCTTTCTGACAGAAAGTTTGTCAACACTAAATCTGTGTTCCTGGAACGCCACTGCTTTTGAGCACTGTCCCACGTCTGTTACTCAGCAGATATTTTCTTGGGATTGGCATGTTGGGAAGAGTTGAGTGTCCATTTAGCAGGCAGCATTACTGATGTCCAGAGAGGATGGATGACTTTTAAGTGAACTTTCAACCTCCGTTAATTGGTGTGGGATGACCACCACACCCAAGTCTTCTGTGGCCTCTCAGGACTCACGGCACTTGGCACAGCTTAAAAGAGGTTGCTTTCGGCCTAGAAAACACTCATAAAAGGGCAGGCTGTTGGGGAATAGGCACTTTTCTGCTGCTTTTTTGGGCAGGCTGCCCACTGAGAAGAGAGAAAACACCCAACATCAGTCCCGGAGGAGGGAGGCGGGGGGCTCAGGTGGCTGCCCGCGCAGAAGTGACTGCAGGGGCCTTCCTCGCCCTCGCAGACCTCAGCTCAGGGGGACTGCAGGCCTCCTCGGGGAGGACACACTGGCCTTCCAGGTGAAGGGAAGAGGGTTCTCAGGATGTGAGGAGCACCAGGCATGAAGCGTGACCACGTTCAAATCCAGAACCTCTGCTCACCAAGGGACACTCAGAATAACACAAAAGTCACGGAGGGCAGAATCTCTCTGCAGCACGTATGTTATTGGTTTTCCGGTTGCTACAACTAATGCCCACAAGTGCAGAGGCATAACATAACAGAACCCTGTTCCCTTACAGCCCCGTCCGTGGGTAGCACAGCAGTCTCTCTGGGCAGGGTCGGTTCCTCCTGGTGGCTCCCGGGAAGAACCTGTGCCCAATCTTGGCCAGCTTCCAGAGGCCATTGGCATTCCTTAACTGGAACCCCTTCTTCCATGGTCACCTGACCACAGCTAGGAAAGCTTTTCCACTCTTACAACCCATGTGATTAGATCAGGCCTCCCTGGCCAAGGCAGGACGAGTGTCCATCTCCAAGTCTGTCCCATAGTCACATCAGCAAAGTCTCTCTTGCCATGGGCGGAGCTCATAGATACCAGGGCAGGAAATCTTTGGGGGGAGCCAAGGGGTATCATCCTGCCTGTCAAGACCTATAAAATATAAATCACAGAGTCACATCTCTTCAAATAATAAAAGAACTATGGGAGCTCAGTTTAAAAATAGCCTGAGATTTGAACAGATGATATTCATAAGACCGATATTTTTATAAAAAAGAACTTTACCTTATTGCCTTCCAGAGACATGCAGATTACAACCAACTGTTATAACCAGGCTGCACACGCATCAGAACCACTACAGCTAGGAAGCCCGATGACCCCAACTGCGGGAGCTGATGTGTGGGGAAGGGCTTTCTGTATGGCTGGCATCAGCGCAACCTGATGCAGCCAGCATGGAAAACAGTCTGGCACTAACTATTAGGGCAGAAGACACATGTTCCCACAACCTGCCAACTCCACTCCACACCATGATGTCCTGTCACTCGCAGGTGCGGCATGGCCAGGAATCTCTACAGCCCCAAACTGGAGTCCATCCAAGCTCCTGTCAGGAAGGAAATGGGTGAAAAAAATGCAAGGCCAGCCGCCCAGCACCACTCTGCACAGCCCTGAACATCACGCACCCTCACCACACATACAGAGCTTGAACCTCACAAATATGATAGAAAAGAAGCCAGATTCAGGACAGGGCACCCACTGACCCCACTTAGATAAAGCTTTTCAAAAGCAAAAACAACCTGTGGCATTTTGGTACTTAGGTGGTACATGTGTGTAAGAAAAATAAGTGATTACATTTGAGGGAGAGACAGGGTGTGGATGGAAAAGGGACGGGGAGGGGTGGACCTTTGGGGACCCTGTGTGGTGATTCGATTGTGTCTGCTATCCAGTGATGAAAGTACGTACGCTATATTTTTTATTTTATACACCTTTGAGTACACGTTATGTTCCACACATTAAAAAATTATTTTTTAAGGAAAGTTCATGTGCTCAGATCTGGGGACATGAGCTGGGTGCACATCTTTCCCTGACATCAGGGTCCTAGATTCAGAAACCATAAGGGCTGTCCACATCCCACCACGTCCCAGCCATAATCTCTATTTAGGTGGAAAGTCCATTAGTTGGGGCGGCACTGTTTGTCTTTAGTAGGTAAGCATTTTAAAAACCCAGGAAGATGTCAAGTTAACTGTAGAAATAGGCCAGGCTGATGCTTGTAATCCCAGCACCTTGGGAGGCAGGAGCAAGATAATCACTCAAAGATGAGAATTTGAGACCCGGGCATCATAGCGAGACCCCATCTCTACAAGAAATTTTAAAAATTAAAAAAAAATTATCCAGGTGGGGTGGTGTGTGTCTATAGTCCCAGCTTCTTAGGAGGCTGAGACCAGAGGCAGGAGGATCTCTTGAGCTCAAGTGGTTTGAGGTTGCAGTGGGCTATGACTGCATCATTGCAGTCTAGCTTAGGTGACAGAGTGAGACCCGGTCTCCAAAAAAGCTTGAAATAAAAAATAATTTTAAAAAAAATCCAGAAATGATTAATATAATGAAAGCCATAGAATTATGACTTTTGTATTAAGGAAACGGAACAGATTTGATATTTCATAGTCTTATAATGTTTAAAGAATTTGGCCTATTATAAAGAAAGTTTCATAAACCCAATCTAAAATGTGCAATTAACTAATTGACTTAAATAGTATAATACTACACAGAAATCTTAGTGCATTTATACACAGTATTGAAATAGTTCTGAGAGTTTGGGCTCATCACATTTCTAAGTTTAATCAGATTTCTTAAAATTAATTAGTACTAAGAAGGTTTTTTCACTAGACAACTAAAATACTTAAGAAAGAATTTGAATATATCCCACTTACTATTGCCATTTAAAATATTTGAAGGGATTTAATGAGCTTAATTTATAGTATCCAAAAACCCTAAAAAGGGGACTATTAAGTTTTGTAGGTCTTTTAAATAGAAAAAACAGAACTGTAAGTCAAACCTGAAATATTAAGGATGAACTAAGTTGTTTTTAGTTTAGCTTAGCTTAGCTTTCAGAAACTGAATATCAAATTCAAGTAGCAAAGCACACCTATGATGAGTCTTTTCTAATCATTTTTCCCCAAACTCACACCAGCAAAACTCAGTGAGACTTTGCAATTTGAGGATGAAATAAAATGAGCATAAAGACAGCAAATCTTCATCCTCTGTGGTTAGGGCTATTCTTCCTAGCCATGGGGTCCCCAAAGGTGGAGTGCAGGCACGGCCCCATCCAGCAACATTTTGGCATTTGTGGGCATCCACACAGCTTTGTTTTTACTCCTTTGTCTTTTCTTGTTGGCTTTCTTCTGTACTAGTTGAATATTTTTATTATCCCATCATCTCCTATTAGCTTATAACTTAAACATTCTTTTCCTGCTTCTTTGGTGTTTATGTTTGAGATTGCAACATATCTCCTTAACTTTTTATACAATTTAATAAAAATTATTCCTTCTACTATTTTGCTGGTGAAGACCTTTACACATCCTAGCTACATCTAACCCTTCCCACCTCTGTGCCGTGGCTCTGTGTGGTCATTCTTCATCTTCATCCACATTTTTACCCTTGACATTGCCCTGCAGCCCTTTCTCCATTTCCTTTTTCAGTCTGGGACTGTCTTCTTGCTGCCTGACAAACTCCCTTTCATATATTTTTTTTTAAATGAAAGTCTGCTGTTGATACATTCTGTCCGTTTCTGTTACCTGAAATGTCTTCTTTATTGTTTTCATCCTTAGCAGTATTTTAATTTGGTGTGGATGTGTGTGGCCCAGCTATTTCCCTACAGCACTTTACATGTGCATGTCCAGTATGGGTAGGTTTGATCACTCTGCGGAAAAAGGGACCTGAAATTCTCGTGGCCCCTCTAGAGGGAACATGACATTTTTCCTCTGGCTGTTCTTACGATTTTCTCCTTACCTTGATAACTCTACTGCAAGGTACTTGAAGGAGATTTTCTTTGCGTCTACTCTGCTTGGGATTCACGGAAGACATAAAGTCTTTGGACTTACGTGTTTCATGAGTTTTGGGAAATGCTGGCCTTTACCTCTTCAAATGTCACTGTTCCTCCACTCTCTCCTCTCTTTCGGATCCTCAATGACACATGCGATTCCCATTTCTACATGTGCTGTGTGGTCTCCTGAGCTAGTTTCTGTATTTGGATTATTCCTTTCTTTCCATGCTCAGCCTGGATATTTTCTATGGACCTTGACTTACATTCTAGTCCCTAATAAAGCTTATCATGGCATCTGACTTGTTTATAAATTGAAATCCACCTTTGAGTTCTTCATTTCACTTATAGAATTGCCAGTTTGTGTTTTCATCTAACTCATTATCTTCTATTTCTTCAGCCTAGAAATCATAGTTGTTTTAAATACCTTTTCAGATGTTGCTCACCCCCAGGTGGCCTGTGGATCTTACCTTCTAGATTTTTCAAAAAAAATCTCAGTTTTGGGGGAATAGTTAGCAGTTTTGGATTGAATGGTAGACAATGGTCAATAAATTGTGGTATATGTACACCATGGAATACTATGCAGCCCTAAAGAAGGATGGAGAATTTACCTCCTTCATGTTTACATGGATGGAGCTGGAAAATATTCTTCTTAGCAAAGTATCTCAAGAATGGAAGAAAAAGTATCCAATGTACTCAGCCCTACTATGAAACTAACTTATAGCTTTCATAGGAAAGCTATAACCCAATTATTGCCCAAGAATATGGGGAAAGGGGAGAGAGAGGGGAGGGGAGGGGGGAGGATAGGTGGAGGGAGGGTGATTGGTTGGTTCATGCTTATGGTTTATCCTATGGGGGTACATGTGACTCTTTCTAAATGTAGAATACAAATGTCTTAACACAATAACTAAGAAAATGACATGAAGGCTATGTTAATCAGTTTGATGAAAATATTTCAAATTGTATATAAAAACAGCACACTGTACCCCATGACTGTATTAATGTACACAGCTATGATTTAATAAAAAAAATTAAAATAAAAACTGGAAGGTATTTTTTTAAAGTCAATTTTTTTTT